TTTTTTTCTTTCTTTCTTTCTTTTTTTTCTTTCTCCTTGTGTGTGAGTTTATTTGTGTGTTTTTCTTGCAGCGAGCAGAGCTGGTAGCTGGTTGGGTGTCTTGCGATTTGAGGGATTTCTCTCTCGATTATTTTCGGTTTTTCTTGCTCCGTAAATACATGAATAATGTGCACTCAGGGCCGTAACCAGGGGGGAGCACAGGGTGCACGTGCACCCCCCATAAAAGCTTAAGGTCTGCTCATCCATCTCCTTTTTTTTGGTTATCTTTTTTTTTGTTCGTTCTGCAAATTGTTTCCTGTGCACCTCCCTGCACGATCCCTGGTTACGCCACTGAGTTGGTAATAAAGAAAACCGATCAGTGGTCCGATTTTATTCGATGTGCACCGTCCTTGTAAAAGTTCTGGTTACGGCCCTGGCATTTATCTATCACATAATTTTCCTTGGATTTAATTTAACTCGATATATTTAGCTGAAGAATCAAAACTGAAATATTGCTAATTGTCAAAAATACCAAATTATATAAAACCAGTTTGCGAAAGTTTATGATACGTTAAAATAATAAATTGAAAAATTAACCGTTTTGTGAACTAAGAAGATATATTCCGTGAATAAAGATGCTGGGTTATGCACAAAACCAGATGTGGAAAGTAATTTAGTTGTTTGGATGCTAAATTTCATTGAAACATGCTTCGTTATATATCTTAGTCATGAGCGAGAGATCAATGACTAAGATATATAACGAAGTATATTTTAATGAAATTTAGCATCCAAACCTCTTTCATTCTTTCTCTCTCTGTCTCTCTCTGTCTCTCCCTTACTTTTTTTATTCTTACTCTCTCTCTCTCTCTCTCTCTCTCTCTCTCTCTCTTTCACTTTTGGCTTTTCCCTCCTTATAAGCATAAAGGCAAATAGAAGCCCCAGTAAATTGAATTAAGCACTTTTTACCTTCAAAACACACTTTCTTCATACGGGAAGCTGTTTTCTACCTGATATGTGACTGACAAAATACCCTGATCTGATAGCTCAGGGTATTTACAAGAAACAAAAGATGATATATAGTGATCAATTATTAATAAAATAGACATATTTGCAACATAATTGTCTAATCAAACGCAATTCATCTTGAGAGATTTTCGGCACACTAGAGTAGATATTTTGTCATAGTTCTTCAGGATATAAGTAAAAAATAATTTGATAACTGATTCGTGTCATACTGACCTAGTTACTGAGTAGGTTTTAGAACTTATTTGAAAGGTTTCATGGCCTCAAAAATTATACATACGCTCTCTATTGACGTTATTTGTTGAAGTCATGGAAGCCATTGAGTGAAAATATGACTCAGTGAGACGCTACTGTGATGTAATCTAGCCTTGTTCCCATGGGCCTTATTCACGGGGCAGCCATGTTAGATTGAACAATAGATTCCACCTCGCGTAGCCTCAAATTCAAGCGCTTGAGAATTAATTTATGCTGGGGAAACAAAGGTTTTTATTTTCTTGAGAATAAACATGCCGCAGTGTGATAAAGGTCCATTGCCAGTCAAAACGGCGGAAGCTAAGCAACCGAATACAAACCGTTTGAAATTCCACGGACTTAACTGGAACACATGAATATTCTGCGCAAGATCGAGCCTAGACCTGGGTAACAGAGAACTAGAAAGTATTCGCTTGAATGACGACCATGAAAGAAGGGTTTCAAGCCAAGTTTGAATTGGATGTGTTCATAATTTACTGTACTTTCAACCAAGTCCAGCCACGGCTTTAAACCATTGTTCCGTGCCCGTCATTTAGTTGAGTTCGGAAACGGTCTGTTTCTATTCTATTTCATTAAATATTCATTACCTATCCTGATGACGTAGCAATATTTAAGGAAGAGTAATGATGAAAAGGTAAATTATACACCGTATGAATAAATTTTACTCCGACGAAGGACTAGCGTCCGAAACGTCAGTAAGTTTTTTCATCTTTTCACGGTGTATAATTTACCTTTTCATCATTACTGTTTCATTAKAAACACCGACGCAGCTCACACTAGTTTTTAGCTAGTTATATCTATTTAAGGAAGAATTGATTATGCAAAAATGTCATTTGGACCGAACAAGCGTGGATGATCATCCGTTGTTCTATCGTGTCCAGCCGATCGTTTTTTTAAAATCAGGATAAATAAAGATATTATAATTATGATCATCATCATCATCATTATTATTATCACCCTTCCTGTTTACTTATTGGCTTATTCCCACGAGCCTGCTCGTCTGGGGTGATTTCCCATACCTTAATTAACTGAGTGCTGCAATTAGACAATACATCTTTGGTTTTGTTTCACGGATATATGACGTACTTGTACTCTTGCACAGTACCTGTCCCTTAATCTTGGCGTTGGTATCTCAAGATTAGCTGTGTTTACATTAGTAGTATACCCACAAAGAATTGTACCCTCAAACACCGTGGCTCAGGAAATACCATTCCGCCTTTAATGTACGGATTACGCAGGATAGACCAGGACAATGTTCTAGCCGAGGCATCAGGAGACTGAGAAACAAGCCGGCCCCCGGACGGTATTTACAGCTTATCCCTTGCACTTTTAAACTGGGATGCAAGTCGTTTTGAAGACGTCCCTTTGAAGTCAAAATATTCCGCAAATCTATCAATATTCAAAAGACTCAGGTACGCTGAAGGAATATCTGTTGTGACAACTTTTTATTTTCATTTAACCCAGTTGTAGCTTACAATTTAAGTGCAAAAATCGTGCTACACAAACTGAGGCATAGCCAGGTCGAACAGAAAGACTGTTTATTCCTTAGTCGGCAGCTTGGCGGTCAGTAGGACTAGGACTTCCCTGCTAGCAGAGTCTCTCTTCTCTTTCTCTCCCTTCTTTCAGGCGGGGAGGAAGGAAAATCTGCCGATGTAGAGCGTTTCATTTGATACACCGCCGTCCACGATGGTGGACGAACAAAACCAGTTTTAAAACCGGTGTTTAACCGATTACATGTAGTGCGCATGATCAAATGTAACACAACTTGGCGCCAAACACCGTTTGACGAGAGCGGCTGTCAAAATCATGGCAGCGTTGCTAAGTTACGCCACGCATGCGCGACAGAAATAACGTCCTACATCGGCCTACAGAGTCTATTTTTCTCTCTCAACCAAAACAAAAGGAAAATATGCTCTGCTAGCAGGGAAGACTAGCACTTTCCTAACTCCACAACAAAACTTCCTTACTTAGGTCTGTACCTTCCAGTAGCTTCAAACTTAGCTTTGCTCACAATGGAACTAAGTGCTAGTATAAGAATACAATAGAGATTTTAAAATGTGAAAAGAATTAAATCTATAAGCATTCTGAGGTTATAAAAAAGCTTGGTCGAGTTGGTATCAAAGTGCCATATATTGTGGGATTGTTAAAGTGGTCAGATATTCCCAAGATGGCGTCTATAGTTCGTCCTAAAACAGTTCCACAATACACTTCAATGCATACTAGATTCAGTAGATATAACTAACTAAAAACTAGTGTGAGCTGCGTCGGTGTTTCTAATAAAATAGTAATGATAAAAAGGTAAATTATACACCGTGAAAAGATGAAAAAACTTACTGACGTTTCGGACGCTAGTCCTTCGTCGGATTCAGTGTTTATTCTTGACCTCAGAATGGCTATTATTCATACCAAGGTTTTTCTTGATTTTATGATGCCCTTAGTATGATTTGCCTGACAGTGTTCTTACCGTGTATCCGGTATTTGATTGGATGGAGGTGAGAGTAAGTCTCGTGCAATATAATTGGTCTGCCGTCAGACAGCGAGCTTTTCACAGCTCTAATTATAACTCTTGATAAGTAGTTGCTTGGAGAAGCATAAACTATATGTTTCCTATCGCTATCCTTTCTAATTATAACTGTCGTCGATATCAGGTTGAATGAAGAATGAAGATCAAATGCTTCAGTTAACAAATATATTATTGAGAGACGAAGTAGAAAAAGTGAATTCTAATTGAAAGTTGCCCAAGCATGTAAGCGCCTTTCTTGTCACATTATTGATGGACTGCAAGCATTCCCAAGAGAGTTAAAAGACAAAAGCAYGGCGGGCATTGTGGTGCCGTTTACAATGGGTGCTAATAAGAAATCTTTTGTTAAATGGCACCAACATGGCCGCGATGACGTAACGTGCAATCGTGGAATAGGGTGAATTTGGTCCTTTTATATTGGTGCTTTTAAATACTAGAAAATATCTATTATTTAACCCGTAAATTCTAAGCATAGTTCAACCTCATGTTATTTGGTGCATTAAAAGATTCAGTTTATGGAGGAAACGATGCATCTGACGCGGGATTGGGCTGAACTTTATCAAACACTAGTAACGTTAAATCTATCGTCAGCAGGCGGATTATCTTGAACTTAACGTACAAACATCTTCCAAGCGTCACCAGCTTGTCCACCAGACACATTATCATCGCATTTGTGTTCCCCGCTAATAATTGTATTAACATGTGTACCTGACCAGAATGCAACTTTATTGTACGGCCTCAACGGACCTGTAGATGACGAGTGTCCCCACGTATCGGTATTGGTCCCTCCGTTTTGGAAGCCCCACTTGGCACAGTTGGCGGCCAGCAGCGATTGGTCATCAGGAAGACGAATAAATGAGTTACAAGCAGTTGCAGGCGAAGAAGCATCCTCAATCATGAACCTACAGAAAAAGAAATAACAAAACGAGTATTTTTCATGAATGTCTATTTTTTCGCATGGACTATCAATTAGGACACAAATAGTGGTAATATTAGAATAGATCTATATGTCCCTTCACATTAGTCGTACGTACTGTCTTCCCACTTTCCTTCAAGGTATCTCCTTAACTATTTTATTCAGTTTCATGTTTATATAACAGAATACAGAATCTGGTTCAAAAGCTATCAAACAATCATCAGATAAACACCTCACAGCATCGTATCCCGAATCGTTCTTGACCTACCGTCATAATGTGAAATACTCTGCCAACAGATGCTTTACGACAGTAGTACCGTAACTGTGTGAACCCCATCTCTTGTTTCAGTTGCAGAAGTGCAGGTTGTGTGACGAATTCATATAGACTCAGATTAGATATCTGCCGATAGTTGGTACAACGGGCAAAGCCAGAAAGGGGTGGGCCCGTCAGAGTCAAGTTTTTGATCAGCGTCAACCCGCCTAAAAACAACGATTACAAATTATTTTACTGTAAGGAAAAATTATATGAATGAAACAGACAGTCTACTATCTAATCTACAATCTCCCTCAATTTGGTTGAAATTATTGTTATTGTATTTTTAAAACTGAACTCAACACGTAACCATGCGGTTTGCTCGATATTTCAGATACTTTCAGTACATTTGCCTGGGTTAATCCAGTATCACAGGGAGCCCACACATGCTTCACATTAACACATCTTACCTCCGTCAGTGGTCATGTCACAGTACACAGTGAA